GGGGGGGAGGGGAGGAGAGGAGGCAGGGCACGGAGTACAAATACCTGCTCTCTCCTTTACACAGGGTGCCCAGGAGAACTTTACAGGGGGGAGGGGGCTCCTTTTCTCAGGACTGAGGGAACCGTCAAGGCTGAGGAAGTAGCCGGCATCCCCAGAGTGGGGATTCAGGGAGAAGGAAAGAGCCTAGATAGGTCGAGTCACGTGCAAGAGTTTGTCCAAAGTGTGTGTGCTCCCCACCAGCCCACAGCCCCTCCCATCCACTGCTAAGGTGCCCTGGCCCCTGCCCTGACTGCATCAGGTCAGCAGCCACCACGGGGTGGGGGCTGGGGGGGTGGGAAGGGAGTGGCAGTGCCCTAACTCTTGCCCGCGGAGGGACAGGAGTGAGCTAGAGCTCTAAGCTGAAGTCAGCCCCGAGGTGTCTGTGTCCTGGGGCCCTGGGATGGGGTGGGGGCTGCCCTGAGGCTACAGGTGCAACTGAGGCTGAGGGGGAGGGGTGGGCAGAGGGGAACGGGAGTCTGTGGGGGATGCCACCGGAGCCCCCGGAGACCTTAGTCCCAGGGTGGGGAGCCGATCCTCGATCCTCGAGTCCTGCTTCCTGGGGGCTGCAGGGCGGGAGGAGGGAGGGGCAGCGGGCAGGAAGCCTCCAGTATCCGCTATGGCCCTGCCCTCCTCACCCCTCTTCGTGGGACCTGAGAGGGAGCCCAAGCCCCGAGCCTTCCGTGAGAGGCACCACGGCTTCAGGGAGGCGCCAGCTTACCTCCGGTGCAGGCTCCCTTGGACCCGGCCCCGGGACCACGAGCGGTCTCTGCGGTGACCTTCCGACCCACGCGGCAGGGGGACAGCGCAGCCTCGGGAGCGTCCCCAGAGCCATCCACCACGGACCCGGGTCCTGGAGACGCCCACCCTCTCCCAGGAGGCGCAGACCCCTCGGAAGGGTGGAGGCAGGGTCCCCAGGATGGGCTGCAGCCCTGCCTCTCGGCCGCCCGTGTGTCCTAGCCGCCCAGCCGGCAGGCAGGCAGGCAGCAGGCAGCACTCGAGCAAAGTTGCTCAGCTGGCCGGGCAGGTCTGCCTCAGCAGTAACAGGACACAGGAAGACGCGCAGGCTTGTTAACCCCTTCCTGCTGGCCGGGCAGGCGGCTCGGGCCAGGTGGGAGGCTTGCCAGTCCCCAGGACAGGCACACCCAGGGCCAGAGCCAGGGCCGGTAGCCCACTCCCACCCTGTCGTGAGTTAACCCTTCCCCTGCCTCAACAAGACATGGCGGTTGGGGGTGGGGGGCTCCCGCACCTGTCCCACCCCTCCCCCATCTCCCCTGAGCCGTGAAGACCATTCCCAGGGGCCGGCCCTTTGGTGGCGTCTTGTTTTCTGTGGGCTCCTGCCGGCCCCCTCAGCCACCGCCCGAGAGGGGCACGCGGGGCTCCGGGCACAGCCTCTCTCCGCCCCTCTGAGTGAGCTGCTCTCTCCAGAAGTCCTCCTGCTCCCAACTGGAAGATGCTGAGGCCCACGAGGTCCTTATCAGAAGCACCGAATGCAAAACCCAAGGGGGCAGCAGGGGGCTGTGGCCGCTGCCCCCGCATCCCAGCTGCGCCCCTGCTCTACCAGCACTTAAAGCGACAAGCCCAGCATTGGTGAAGTTCTCCAGACTCTGGGCGCTGGGAGCCTGCGCCCGCTCGCCCGGGAGCTCTGGCCCAGAGTGAGGATTTTGGACAGAAAACCCTTCGGGTCGTGAGTGTGAGCAGACAGCACTTTTCTTTCCAGGGGCCACCTCTTGTCCACTTCACACTGCTCTGAGCAAGGGGGTGGGCGTTAAAGTCCAGAGGCTGTTTTTAAGGCAAAAAGTGGCTCAAGGAAGCCAGCCAGTCTGACATGAGGAGGGGCGGAGCCAGGCTGCCGAGGACACGGGATCTGGGCAGGATGGTGCAGTGAGCGTGATCCCGGGGACCTGGGACAGGGCCCTTGGGCCCAGCTGGAGTGGGAGGATGTCAGGGACCCAGGTCCCATGGGGTCCAGTTCTCCCGGTCTCACATTGCTCATACTTGGTGACGACGCTTGGGAAAGACCTGGCTCCGGGAAGTGTGACCCCAAAAGCCTGGGCCAAGGAAGGTCAGGGGCGGGGATCATGACAGGTGACGCTATCCTGCCACCTGATTCATTCCTTGTCCTGCTACCAACTTGCTCTTCGGCTCAGCATCCCACACGTCCCCTTCCGGGGGTGTTTCCCCCTGCCTCCTGTTGGGTGGCTCCAGGAACTGGGAGGAGGGGGCGCTGAGGCCAGCGGGACGTTGGGAGACCCGGATCATGACCTGACCTCATCCAGATCCGACATTCAAGACACAAAGGTCTAAAAGTTCTTTATTGACTTGTGTGTTAATCCGTTTTCCCAGAAGGGCACCTTGCGCACGTGAGTCAGATACAAAGACGCAAAGTGTCCTCGACGTTCTTTGTGGGTCTGAGCTCGTCGGCCAACACCATGAGGTCAGTCACTAGGGTGTCCAGCAGCCCATAGACCTGGAAGCATGAGACAGAACCACAGGCCAGGGTTGGCTCTGTGGACGGCACCTACACAAGGGAGCGCCTGGCATGCTACGAGGGGCACGTCTACACCGGCACAGAGCAGCTGTAGAAGGGGAGTTTCTGTAGAACTGTCGCTTTTGCAGAGCTTTATTTTTCAGACCAGTCTGCGGAGGTCATCCAGCACTAGCCCCTTGGACCCACGGGGGCCCCGGAGCCTGGGGTGGGTGAAGTGGGTAGTTCCAAGGAACAGTGGGGTGGCCCCATTCTACCCTGCCCACAGGGGGCATAAGATCCTTCCTGTGAGATCACAGATCCACACACCAAAATGTCTCCAGGACCAGGCCCTCCAGTGGGGCTGGACCACATGGCCTTGGGGCAATTTGATTCTTTATTTCAAAGAGCCCTATGATTTCTCTCTAAATCCTATCAACCTGCGGAAATCACAGTGATGTCACCAGCGGCAAATGGAACTTCTGATCAAATGAGATCTGGAGCGTTACCACAATGTATGTGATGTAATCCCGGCTACCTAGCCATCCACGCTAGAGGAGGACAAAGCACTGCCATTACACAAAGTGACAATCAGATGTGGCTTCGCGGACCTCCGCTCTGAGATACCAAAGCACAGGACACAACGCCTGGGTGAATCTCTAAGGACTTACTGCTCAAGAGTACACCATTATGCTGGGGTCACGATCTCACGGTTCGTGAGACCCAGCCCCGTGTCGGGCTGTGCGTTGACAGCGAGGAGCCTGCCTGGGATTCTCTCTCTCTCCCCTTTTCTCTCTCTCCCTCCCCGACTCGTGCAGTTGCCCTCTCTCTCAAAATAAATAAACAAACATTAAAAAAAATAAAAGAATATACCACTAGGAAGTCTCTGGAATGCTTCATAACCCTCACCCTTGCTGGAAATTCACCCTACATTAGTGTCCCCCATCTGCCATGACGCACCTAACACAGAAAGGAAGTGGGGGTGGCAGAAAGGGAGGGGCTCCTGCTCTGCTCCCCTACTCTGTTTTCCAAACCACAGCCACAGTGACCTTCTAAAGCCTAAGTCAGACCACACCGCTCCTCCATTCAAAACCCTGTGACTTCTCATTTCACTCAGAAAAACCCCAAGGCCACGCAATGGCCTAGAAAACCCCACACACCCCAAGAGCTGCTCCCTCTTGGTGGCCTCTGTCCTCCTGGCCACTCCCTCCCCTGCCTAAACGGCACCTTCTGCCTAGGGTCCTCTTCCGGGATGTCCCCTTAGCCGCCCCTCACCTCCCTTCAGGTCTGTTCCATGTCCCCAGGAGGCTCACCTGCTCCCACCCAGGTCTTCCCCGCCCCCTGGCCCTGGGTGATCTCTGTCCTGCACTGCTGGTCACTGAATGTGCCAGGCGTGTCACTGGTGCCTGATGCCTGCCCCTCACACACTCGGATGCCCTGGCACAGGCCAGCCCTTTATCGCTTGTGCAATCAACAGGATGGACAAGGGAGGGGAGCACGGCACACAGAGCAGGTGTGAGGGAGGGGAGCGCCGGGTGCGGGGCTCGTGCCCTCACCTCCGTGTGCAGCCTCTTGGTATATTTCTCCATGACCAGGGGATCAATGGGTTCCTGAGAGGCCATGGTGCCGTCAGGGCCAGGGTCCTCCGAGGAAAGCCTGTCCCGACTTGAAGATTTCACCGGCTTCTTGTCATCCTTTGCCTTGTGCTTCTTGGTGTTCAGACGGTCCTGCTCGGAGGGACGGAGACATGCATAGCCTTCAGGAGCCCCCCTGGCAGAAGATCTGCTCCCCCCCCCCGGGGGGAGGTCCAGGGCTTTCTCAAGAGCAGCTCGTTGGGAGTGACCGACCACCTGCCGCAGCCCCTCTGCCGCCTCCCCAGCCTGGCCCGCAGCCCCCCCACGATGTCCCAGCATGCCTCTTTCTCGAAGCCCCCCGCGATGTCCCCGAATGCTTCTTTCCCGCGCCCCCTCCCCCCCCGTGATGTCCCGGCATGCCTCTTTCCCAGACAACTTGGCCAGTTTCCTGTCCTCTTTCTCCCTGATGCCCATCTGCTTCTTCTCCTGGGCTGCCCCTTTCCGGTCCTCCTTCCCAAACTTCCCGGCAGTTGCTTTCACTTCCACGATGACAGGAGGGGACTTGCCTTCTAAGGGAGGTGAACGGAAGACAGTGTGCCCTGGCCTCGCGGCTCCCACAAGCAGGGTCGGGAAAGCCAAGGCTCCTGAGCTGTTAGTGCTCCGAGACGCGAGCAGGACTGGCTTGGACACGCGGGCTCGTGGCGCAGGACTGCAGGCCAGGGGCGACCCCCACCCCTGCCCCATCTATGGCACGGGCAAGTCACTGGACCTCTCCCGGGCTCCGCCTGTGAAGCCGGGGGACTGAGCTAAGGTGCTCGCTCCGGTCGCTTCCGGGGCCCAAATCCTGGCAGCAGATAGAAGGGCAGCGGGGCCAATTCCGTGGACGAACCCAGACAATGGTTCCCATCAGAAGGTGCAAACGCTGAGGTGGCCGGCTGGGGGGGGGGGGGGGGGGCGAGGCCACACAGTGCGTGGGTGCAGTCTGACCTTGCTCTTCCGATAGCTCCAAGTAGATGGTCTCCTTCTCAGGCAGGCCCAGCAGAGCCCTCAGCCACAGGGAATGGCTCACCAGGCCGTCAATCACATCCCGCCAGAGCTGCAGACTAGAAAGCGGGGCATCCTGGAGAGAGCTGTCACCCCGCGTCTGCCCTTGAAAGGGCAGAGGCGTGGGTCCTCCCCTCCCGGGACACCGCTGCCAAGGGCCAGCATCGAGGGGCCATGCCCTGTCTAACCAAGCAGCCTCACCAGGTCCCGTGCCAGTGCTCAGATGCGGACCTGGCTCCCTTCAGGCAGCAGCTGGGAAAGAGTGGCCTGGGACTAGGGTTCGGTTAGTCTGGGCTCTGGCTTGAGACTAGACTAGGGTGAGGCCCTATGGGAGCCGGGGAGGGAGGGGGGGCCTTCTGCGAGTTTTCCCGAGCCCCCTCGCTGAAGGCACGCCTGCACAACCAAGCAAGTTCCAAACAAGAAGTGAGGCTTTTTGTGGCCTGTGCTCTTCTTCTTGCTGCCCTCTGGTTTCCCCTGGGCCCATTCCTCTGCTCGTTGAGAAGGAACGAGGAGAGGGGCCGGGAAAGAGAGGCCAGCTGCCTCCTCCGCTCAGGAAAAGGGTGGCCGCGGCTGGCGCCACAGGGCGGAGCGTCTGCAGTACCTCTGTGCAACCGAGGACAGGCTGCCCAGAGCCGCAGGCCGTCAGACAGCCACCACGTGGGGGACAAGCCTGGCTCTGCGGGGGGGGGGGGGGGGGGGGGGGGGGGGGGGGGGGGGGGGGGGGGGTACCTACCACATCTGGTGCAGGAAGTCAGACTGCAGGGGCCTCCGCTCCTGGCACAGCTCCAGGGCTGCTCTGTTGAGCCCGATCAGGGCGTCCTCCCTCTGGCTCTCCTCGGGGAGTTCCACCACTGCCTGGCGGGGGTGTAGGTGGCGTGAGCGGCCATTCCGCCCAGGACACCAAGGGTCCCTGAGTCCTCTAGTGATGGGCCTCGTGCAGTGGGGACCAAAAGCCATGGTGGGGGTGCAGCCGTGGAGGGTGGACCTCCCCTAGGAATATGTACCCACGAACTGCTTCTCCGACGTGTGCCCGGGTCAGAGAGGGAAGCCCTCCTAGGCTGTGGTGGCCTGGGCGCCCGAGACAAAATGAGATGACCCAGGAGACTGCTTTCTCTGAGTCTTTAGAAGGGTTTGTTTCTTCTCCCACCGGGGGGGCAAAGGGGACTGCTGGGGCCCTCCCTCAGGGCACTGCCGCCTCTACCAGGGCACCCTCCTACCAACCGCTTCAGGGTCGGGGGAGCACCTTTCTGAAATCCTCCAAACAGAGGCTCCACTCAGGCGGGGAAAGGCCTTCCAGCTCCCAGGGGCTCTTGGTGCTCCCCAGGTCTGGGCCCTCCTCCACCAGGATCTCCTCCATAATGCTCTTCCGCTGAGAATTCTGAGCCCCTGCTCCAGGCTTCTGGGACCCTGATGCATCTCGGGAGCCCTTGAAGGCCTCGCTCTCCTGGCGGGGCACCTGGGATTCCGAGACTGGGCTCTTAGAGCACGCTGAGGGCTCCACGTTCACGGACACCTTCTCCGAGTAGGCGGCCCAGGCCCTGGAGCTGCGGCGGCACTCCTCTTCGCTGGGCCCGGCCTCCTCGG